AAATAAGTGATGCGGCATTTTTAATTATAAAACTATTGTGATTTGGCAAAAAAATATAATTTAATAAATAAAAATTTCTTTTCTTTTTTTTTTTTTCTTTCCTTTTCTTTTTTTCTCTCCTTCTCTTTCCTTTTCTCCTTCCCCTCCCTACTAGGTTTGAAGGAACCCAGCACCAGCGCCTGGGTTCCTCGAACCCCGACGCGGGTTCCTCAAACCCAGGCACTGGATTCCGAACCCAACGCCTGGGTTTGAGTCGAACCCGCCTGGGTTTTTTTGTTGTGTTTCTTTATTGGCTTGCAATCATGCTTGAATGGGATTTAGAGTTTTGTGTTGCTTCTGATTGCTTGAATTTCTAGATCTAGTTACTGTCGATGTTGATTAAAGAAATGTTGTGTTTTCTTTACAGATCTGATATACATTCGTAGAGGAATTGATTTTTTGAATCATATCTATTGGTCATTATTATTATTGTGCGAGGAACCAGATTTGAGTTCTATTAGAGAGGAGGTTTGGGGAAGAAGTAGATGGTGATTGGAGTGGTAATAGATGATCAGAGCAATGAGGGATGACCGGAGTAAGGAGGAATGATCGGTGTTGATTGGGTTGCAAGATGAGAAGACATCTGAGGATAGAGAGAGACGAGAGGTGATGGAAGATGAAGATGAGGGTATTTAAGAAATTTTAAATTTTTTAATATATAAATTAATTAAAATGACGTGGATTAAGTTATTTTCCACGTAATTAAAGATTTCAAACAAAAATTGATTTGGTGGTAACTTAACGTGCCATCTGGCACTTCCGTCAACGGAAGGACAAAATTGGTCCCGAAAATTGAAGTTCAAGGATTTTTTTAGTACTTTTTGAAGTTTGAGGGTAGTTTTAGTTCAAAAATGAAAGTTGAGGGACTGAATCGGGGATATAACCTTTATTTTTTGTATTTTCCATAGGCTCTATTGTAGCGCGATTAAATGAAATTTCTCACTATTAATTTGTATTAAAAAATAAAAATTAATTTTACTCTAAAATAAAGTTAATTTATAATGAGAATAATGTAGAATAAGTTATTTTTTAATTATTTTTTAAAAAATTTATTTAAATTTTTATTTTTAATTAATATTTTTAAAAATTAATTGTTAAATTAAAAATTTTATTATCTAAATTATGTATATCAAATTTTATATTAATTTAATATTTATAATTCTTTAATAAAATTTTTTTTATTATATAATGATGTTAAAAGTTTTATAATGAATAAAATAGTTATAATTATTAAAACAATTTAAAAATTAATATATATAATTTTATATAAATAAAATTTTTAATTTAATAATTAATTTTTAAAAATAATATTAAAAGATAATATTTTAAATATATCATCTAAAATTAATATTAAAAAACTACCTACAAAACATTGTTGCCTTTTAATTTAACCTAATTAAAATCATCCATTTTGTACTGCTATAAAAGTTAGAAAATTTGTTTATTTTTTGGAAGAAAATCAAGTGTTTTGCAATCATTGGATGAAGCATCCTTCTCAAAGAACCCCCTATTGGGGTATTAAAGATTCTAATTAAGTAAAGTAGTTTGCAATTTAGATTATGGAACACATTTTTGTAATTATTTTAAAAATTAATATAAGATAAGTTGTTTTTTTTTTAATTTTTTAAAAAATAAGTCTAAAATTTTAATTTTAAATTAATATTTTAAAAATTAAATATTAAATTAAAAATTTTATTTATATAGATAACGTATGTTAATTTTTATATTAAATTTATAGATAACATATGTTAAAAATTATAAGAAAAAATGACAAAAAAATGTCTTAATTCATACTTTAAAAATAGAATATTTTAGTCTTTTTAATAAGTATTTATTAAAATGATGTAATTTTAGAATAATTTTTTTCTTAATCTTTAAAATGTAAGATAGATAAGCACTATTTCTCATTTATAATTTTGTAATAAAAAATTTTATTTATTGATATATATTTAATAATATTAAATTTTATAAAATTATGAACTAATTAAGCCTCTTAGATGAATATAATAATTAACATGTATATAATTTATATAAATAAAATTCTTAATTTAACAATTATTTTTAAAAAAAATTAATTAAAAAATAAATTTTTAACACATATTTATAACTTGCGAAACACTTTTTTCATTATTTTATCAATTAAAATTAATTTTCCTTAAATAAAAGAAGGAAACAAGAACTCGAAGGTCGGCGGCTTTTGGGCTTTTGGTTGGACAACAGCGAAGCTAGAAAATGGACTGGAGGAAGGAAGAAAACGGAATGGATCTGTTGGGGTTGGGGACTTGGGAGATCCGTTTAAATGCTGACGAACACCTAATGGGCCTCTTCAAAACATTGGCCCTTAAATATCCGACATAACGAGCCTTTGGTAGACTGTTGAGCCACAATCTTAAGCCTAAAAATCTGGGATTCATATTTACATTAAAGAGTAAAGACGAACATTATGTTTAAGTGCTTAAGTTTAAAGGAATGAAAGAAAATAAAATAAATAAAATTTATTTATTTATTTATTAAAAAAATTAAATTAAAAAAAGAAGAAAAATTTTTTAATTTCTTTTAAATTTATTTATTTATCTAAATAAAAAAATACTAATTATTAAAAATAATTGAAATTTTAATTTTAAATTTAAATTACATCATTTTATTTAATTAAATTTCAATTTAAAATTTAAAAAATTATCTTATTAAATGTTAATATATTAAAAATATAATAAAATTTTAATTTTAAATATTAATATTTAATAAAATAAAATTTTAATTTTTAAATATAAATTAAAACTCTAATTATATTTAAAAATTAAAATTAATACACACTAATTTCAATAAAAAAAAAACCTACCCCTTTCCTCTCCTTTTCCTCTCTCATTTCCTTCCATCCAAATATATAGAAAAATTCAACAGTCAACACCCACCGAGTCACTATCTTTTGGGTTTAAATAGTTCAAATAGCCCTTTAAACACGAATCAAAGTCAAGGTCTCCCAGAATCCTCGGGTCAAAAAATAGAACGCGCCTTTGTTTACTTTTCTCCCCTGTTTTTGTCTTATAATGATAAAAAATAAATTTTATCGGATTAAACTTTAGATTAATAAAATGATATTAATATTTTTAATAAAAATAATTTAACTAATTAAGAAATAAAATTTTAAATTAAAAGTTTTAAATTTAAATTTTAGATTAAATAAAAAAATTAAGATAAATTTTTTTTCTTTTTATATAATTTATTATTAAATATATAAAAAATTAAAATAATATGAATAATATCATTTAAAATATTTAAAATTTTATTATTTAATAATTAAATTATTTTATTTTATTAAAAATTATAACATTATTATATTAATATAATTAATAATGTATTTTATATCAAATCATTATAATCAAATTTTCGTCGTTTGGTTACATAATAAAAGATAATCATTTTTTATTTTTTATCTCATTTCATTTATATGTCATACGATTTGAATTTAATATTTTTTATTTTTTTTTTAAAAATAATCATTAATTTATTTAAATCATTAATAAATAAAATTTTTAATTTAAATTATATAAATAAAAAAATAAAATTTAATATAATTTTTAGAGATCCACGTATTAAACGAAGGGAGACGGCGAAAGAAATGCTGGACAGAGTGTACAGCATGTAACATCACCGAAACGGCTCCCACTGTCGTGGCATAATATTGGCTCTTTGTCGCGAATACCTGAAATTTCCCCCTTTTTTTTTAATACTTATAAAGTTATAATTAACAACTCTAATCTAACTCTCTGACTTTATATTTAAGGATTGCTGTTTATTCGTTTTATTTTTAAAAAATTAAAAAAAAATAAAAATAAAAATTATTTTAATACATATTTTAAAAATAAAATAATTTAATTTTTTAATAAAAATTTATTAAAATAATATAATTTTAAAATAATTTTTTTTTAATTTTTAAAAGGTAAATCTGATAGCACTATTTTTTTTAAAAAAAAAAAAAACTTTAACTGCCGCGTACTAGCAGCGTAGCATGCTTGTAACAATAAGAACTTTGTCGGTTCTCTCTGAAAAAATATTTCAATTGATAAGAGGTTAAATTATACTCCATTTAATTTTTATTATTCAATAAAATAAAAATATAATAATTTATTAATAAAATTTTATATTTTTGTTTAATTAAATATTACTTAAATAAAAAAATTTTATTTAATATATGTTATAATTATATTTTAAAATAAAGATAAAATCAAAATTACATTAAATAAAATTTTAAAAAATAAATAATTAAATTTAAACAACCTAAACAAAATTTTAAGTCTGTTAAAATTAAATAAAAATAATATAAATTATTAGACATTTTTACTTAAATTTTAATACAAATAAAATAAATTTTAAAAAAGAGAGATATTGGATATACTATTTAGCAGAGTAACAATACCTTACTATTTTATTTAAAGTAATAAGTATACACTATTTTCTACTGGTTGGACAGAAAATTTTGTTTTCTTTTTTAAAAAATGCCATAAAAAATCTTTTTCTATTGAAAATAAGAGGTTTTGAATTTGAGTCGCATAGCATACGGGTGATGTGAAATAAAAAATGGGAGATGATTACCTCTTATTATGCAATTAAGATAAAAAAAAAAACAATAATAACATAGTTATAGTATTACATATGTACTTCAAAATTAAATTGTAAGTTATAAAATTATAATTAAATAAATCAATTAATATATATAACATCTTATATAAAATATGAATAAAAAAAGTCAATATAACCATATTATGTGACATTAAAACATTATAAATAAATAAAAATTAATAACCTTTTTTTTAAAGAGTAGAATAAACGTATAACATACAAATGGTACATAAACATAATATAAAAAAACAGAAACACTTATAATATATTTGACTAAAAAAATAAAGATATAATTTAATTAATTAAAAAAATTTATTTTATTTCCTTCAAGTCAATCACATCATTAAAGAAAATCTTTCGCACCTAACACTTAGAGAATTTGTCATCTGGAGCCGAAGACATCCTTTGGCATCGTTTAATTTTTTTCTCTCTTTTTTTGAACCATTTACAAATTGAGGAAGGAGATTATTTTAAGGTGTTAGTGAAATTTTAAATTTCGATCAATTAATTTAAACACTTTAAAATTTAAAAATAAACTACTTAAACCCGAAAAACCGATTCCTCTGGCATCGTTTAATAGTTCTTAATCAAACCGAGTAAGTAATAATAAGTTTAATAGAACTATGCTTTCAAAACGGAGCAAACAAAGAAAAGGGATCGTCGCCCTCTACAAAATCACACAATCTGATTCTCTTCCCTCGTTTTCTCAGGTTCTCCTCAGTCCTCAACTTCCCCGTCCCACGTACATACCTCCTAAATCCTCGCAATCAACTCACGACTGTCACAACCGACGCCGTCCATGGAGGGAACTGCCAAGGCGACGACCGCTAAGTTAAGAACGAGGAGAAATGGCACTGGAAGATTCAGCAGAAGCAAGAGTTTCTCTCTCTGTTTCAAACCGGCCGTCATGGACGGCTTTTCCGTTGAGTCAACGGAACCTTCGTCTACGTACGACCCAGTCGAGCCCTTGCCGCCTATGTCGATGAGTTTCGATGTCAAGGACAAAAAGAACAAAGGCAGTCGCCGCCGTTTGTCCTGTTTAATCAGCGCCGTCCTGTTCGAAACTTCTCTGGTTAGTTTCATATTCTTTCAAATCTGTCTCAAAATTCAAACTCTCAATTGCTTGTGTATCATTAATTCTAAACAGTTTTTTGATTTTCAAAGATGAAGTTGAATTGAATTGAATTATGATAGAATTGTATATTTGAATTTATATAATTTGATGATTCATATCTAATTTGTTTGTAGGGGAAGAAAGTGATTAAAAGAAAACTCTCACAAAGATTAACAGACAATTCTCTACAACCGAAGACCCAGAAATTAATCCCTAATGAATTTCCAGAGCATCAGGAGTCACTAGGGGACGAAGACATGAGAACTGCATCCACTTTATCTTCTTCCTTACGCTATCAATCGTCGATGCTCTCGCCGTACTCTTCATGCCTCTCCGAGAGGAACACCGTCAGGACGTCCATCCAGCCATGTACTCAAGGCGTCATCGGCGCAGAAAGCAGAAAGGGTTATTTCGGTCCAAATGCAGGTTTGTCCTTGCTTCTTATAAGTCTCTTGATTTTGACTTTTTGGGGTAGGATTTGGGCCATATTTTGTACAACGACGTGGCTGTTCTTCATTCCGCGGTGGAGTATCAAGCCAGGCAGATCGGAAAAGATGGTTGAATTGTCGCCAGCGACTGAATCGGAGCTGTACAGGAAGAAGGCGATCAAGGAAGGACTGCTAGAAAGGAACCAACGTCGTGGATAAATAGCATATGTAAAATGGTTTTTTCTTTAAAAAAAAATGAAGGGAGTAATGTGTAGAAGGATACAGAGATTAAGTACGTTTTCTCAATTTTGCAGTTTTATCTATTCTGAGGATTTGATACATAAATGTATATGATTTTTTGATGTTGAATTATTCCATGATAATGTGATATATGACCTGTTGGGTTATTATGATATAAAGTTAAAGTTCTCTTTTCTTATTTGTTTCAAGTGCAGAAACATATTGGAGACATCTTTGCTTTTTTTATGTCTTTGTTTTTGTAGTATGTACAAAGTACAAACACAAGATGACAGGGAGACCTTTCCTCCATGCATCAAAGTGTACACAAATGGTAGAGACCACCAAATATTGATGCACACAGTTTTGTCCTCTGTTTGGATGCTCCAGATTTCACCCCCACCAGCATCTGCATGCTGCTGATCATCTTAAGATGTACTGTCCCATACTCCCTATCTACTGCTATATGGGCAAAATGGTAATAGAAAGGGGGGAAATCTCAATTCAGTTTGAGATCTAAATAGGAGCAATTATTTTCTGCATCTGAGTGGTCCTGCTGTAGAAATGTGAGGTGGGATGGTTTAAAAGTTGCATAAAAGAGAGAACTAACAGTTACTCTATCCCTCTACTTCCATGTAGCACTAGCAACCCATAGGAAATCTTTTTGGGATACAATAAAAAAAGAAATCCCATTTTGCTTACCAATTCTCTCATATATGTCCACATAAAAACAATAATCTTTTTCTTGGTTTTATATAAAAGTTTTTGTTTTTTCAATCTTCTGTTTCATCCTTTGTGTAGGGATTAAGGTGGTTAACAAATTTATGAGAAATTACTTTACAACAAATGCTTTGTAGATTAGTTTAATTTTTATGCATTGCCCCATCACCAAATACATACCATTAATTGAAAATGAGATCTTGACTCATTGACAAAAGAAACTAAAATCATTGTAGGATGCCATTACGCATGAAGTTGTTCCAGTTACTATTTTGGTAAGAATAAATCATGATGGATGTTGAAAAGAAGGTTGAGCCATGGAAGGAGGAGAGGAAAAAAACAAAAAGAGAACTCTAAATTGGAAACCTAAAACTAACATTTGGGAAGTTTGAGTTTCTTCACAAGTTCCCACCATTTAATTTTTTTTTTTTTTTAGAATATAATATATAGGTCCTACCAGAATTAACCTTATAAATTAATGACAATTAAATACAACCTTTTCTTTATTTGCAGTTTTAGCCACTAAGAAACAAGGACCTCAAAGTCAGCACATTCTTTTCTAGTTTCTCCTTTAAGGCGCCATGCATGGTTAATGCCCTTTTTGATTTTTGGTGGAATGCATGGCTAATGCCTTTGATTCTCCCTCCTCCCTCTTGTACCTTTCCCCAAAGTCTATCACCAAAAGTTGAATTTTTGCCTTTGCCTCACATATATAAAAGTAACAAAACACTATTTATAAATTTTATTCAACATAAATATTTATATACTTTTACATGCAGTTTAGATTATATAAAAAAAAAAAAACATTTCTATTTTTTTAATGAATTATTGTACAAGATTTCCATTAGTTACCTAGAAATTAATTGTTCTAAACTACCTCCTCTTCAAAAATGCTATAGCACTAATTTGTTAAAAAAAAAGTTCTTAGTTGGTGGGACATTCCCTAAAAACACACCCTTTGTTTTCATCTAGAAATATACCTCTTTCTTTTTTCTTCAAAAATTGGAAATTGAGGCGCGAGGGGATGTGGAAATGGTAAGGAGGAACCAGAGGCCACTCTAGTGTGGTGTGCATATACAGCCCCCAATCTTTTTTTTTTTTTTTTCATTTAGTCTCATCAAGTCCTAAATTTGGTGTGAAAGTTAATGTGGACTCATTAAGAGCATAGGAATTCATTCATTAATATAATTCATTAGCTCGTGTTAGCTTCCACTTGGATTGGAAAAAATGCAAACGGGCTAAAGAAGTATTAAATGCACATGAGACAACGTGCACTTCCTAATATTGACTTTGATGCTTGTTTTTATTTTTAAAATTTTTTTTTATAATTATAGAATTAATTACTTGACATAATAAAAATTTAAATCTTTAATTTTAGTCTTGAATTAAAAATTTTTAATTAATGAATATTAATTGTACCAAACTCTTGTTAAGTATTGAGTTTGATGTTTGGTAAGAGTAAGAAAACTATTGTAACCAAGGGATCCTAATGGCTATTAACAAAGTTTAAAAACTAAAACGTGAAGAAAAATTAAATTGAGGGCCTCATGCCCTTATCACATTCCTCATTTCGGCCCCGTTTTAAAGACCAGACTCTCTGTCGGATGCTAACCATTTTGTTCTAGAAAGCTTAACATTTTCTTCATTCCAATTTGCAACTACGAAAGAAATCTCCGAGAAAATATGAATCCACCGGAAAACAGTGACGATCCCCAGCTCCCTACCATCAAGATTCGCCACCCTTCTCCACCCCACCACCCTTCCTCCACCGCTACTCCCACCGCCGGCGCTTGCCGCAAGATCGGCGTGGGTGTCGACCTCTCCGATGAGTCTGCTTTTGCCGTACGCTGGGCCGTCCATAACTACATCCGTCCTGGGGATGCTGTCATACTCCTCCATGTCTCCCCTACCTCCGTCCTTTTCGGTGCCGATTGGGGCCCCCTTCCGCAGCACTACTCCAACTCCTCTTCTGCCGAACAGCCTTCCCAGCAGCAGCTGGAAGAAGATTTCGACGCCTTTACTGCATCTAAGGTTGCTGATCTCGCTAGACCCTTGAAAGAAGCTCAGATTCCTTACAAGATCCATATTGTTAAGGATCATGACATGAGGGAAAGACTGTGCTTGGAGGTGGAGAGGCTAGGGTTATGTGCTGTGATCATGGGGAGCAGAGGCTTTGGTGCTGAGAAGAAAGGGAGTGATGGCCGGTTGGGGAGCGTTAGTGACTATTGCGTTCATCACTGCGTCTGCCCCGTTGTAGTTGTCAGGTACCCGGATGACAAGGAAGGTAGCGGAGGAGAGCCCATAGTCACTATCAAGGAGGCAGAGGAGGAAGATGTTGCTGTGAAGCCAGAGGGTCTCAAAGGTAGGGTTTTTGAGGGTTTTGACTTTTCAATTGTTTAATTGTGTTGAATTTTGGTTTCTTTTCATTTAAAGCTTTATGCTTTGTTAGAATTTAGTTTAATTCTTGAGAAAGTTTATGGTATGGGATTCGGAGGTTCCATTCCGTCTTTGTGGAGAAAGAGCTGATTCATTACTTGGGTTGTTGTTCCTATTTGATGTTTTTGGTTTTGTGAGACATCTTGCTAACAATTCCAAAGATGAAGGAAAGAATGTGCTAGTTTGGAATCTAAAAGTTAATATGTTGTCTTTTCATTTTAGGAAATAATAGTTTCCATTTGAGTTTTTAGAAACAGTTTGCAACCTGAAGGTTTCATGGGTGAATATCATTATATAATTTGAATTAGAGCTGATTGCATTTGGAGAAAGCAGGTATTATCAATTTGTTTGACCTTTTGTCCGCACTTTCATACTCCCGTCAAAGCACTGAGTTTGATGTTATCAGTTATCTTGGGAATGTTCAGCAGTACTTAGATTAAGATCAGCATTGATTTTTTTCCTCTGGAAACTGCTGATATATGATTTATTATTCATAGAGTAAAGGTAGTCTAGTTTGGGGGTGAGAGTTAACCGTTTAAATTAGTGGACGCTGTCAGCCAAGAGTTAACAGTTTACAAGTATTAAGCATATGTTATATTTTGTATATCAATTTTCTGTGGCCCTTAATGCCAGAGATTTAGGGGCATTATAAAAACTTTAGTTATTAAGCAATTAGTACAGGAATTTTTGTACCCTGATGGTTATAGTTTCTGAAGTCTTAAGAAAATAGCTTGTTATCAAGAGAACAGTGATGTAGATAAGGTTCTAATTATATTTTTGATTTGGTTTAGGCTGCAGTTCTTTATGTGTTCAGGTGAAGTGAAAATAAAATTTCTTGGGAATCATAAAAACTATTTTTGTGCTTTGGATGTGTAATGTGTTATTGAGATTCCTTCAATTGTTATGGAATGTTGCTCATCTGCATTTGAGCTGCTGCTGACTAACATTGTAGTTGATCAAAAAATAAGTTTTAACATTGTATTCTCCTGTGTGAGTCTTGTGTTTTCTTTTATTGAATTTTTAAGGATCTGATCCGTAGATTTAATTAGTAATTAGTCTTCTTTTTGTGTTCGAAGTTTAAATGTCTCTCATAAAGTATGACATTGGTATTTTTTTGCTTTCCTCATGGTAGATGATTAATGGTAGTTGGGGGCTGCTGCTTCATCCCCCCTCAGCAACAGGTACACATCTTGTTATGGTAGGCATCTAGATTAAACTTAAACTATCTAATTTCTCATCTGTTTGTGCAACATTTGTCTCACTTCAATGTATCTCTACATTTCCCCTGCAACCCAAAACCCATTTGGCTGTCCACTCTTGCATTTCTCAGCTTATTCTAGCCTTGTATTTTGAAACTTATGTTTCTACTAAAAGTTTCCTCTTCCCAGTTTTTCCATTCTCAAGTTTAATTGAAATCTAATTTGTTAGCTTGTTTCCTGTGTTGTAGATACCAAGAGAAGGTTCCAAAGTAAACAAGGATTAGCCGATGCGACTAGAAAGTAGAAATGCTATCGTATTTGAGATGAACTGCATTTTTTTTAAAATCGATTGTAGATTTCCGTTTCACCTCCATGTCACATTCTGTCATGTATCAACTCACCAAGGAGGGATAATGTTACTCTATGGTTGAGCAAGTGTTTGATTTTCGTTGATGATACTGCAGTGTGGTATATTAATAATTCTCAATAGCTTGCTTGTAGTTTCTATTTTTATGAGCCATGGTGTTTGCTTGTGAAAAAATTGAGCCATTTTCACTTATTATTGATTGTTGGTATTAGGAATAGAAATGTTCTTTTCAGTCTGGATTGGATGTTGTCCGGAGTTTTATCAGAAACGGTATTGAATGAATAGCTAAGACTGCACTCTTTTGTGCAGACAGAAGTTCACTTTCATTTAGGAATTTTGTCATGAAAAAACTGAGCCATGGTGATATGTTTTTCTTATCCGCCATAGAAAACATATACTT